TAAGCAGGCAGCAACTTTGTCTAAACATGCTAAACAGACAATTAAAGTATGAAATTTCCTCCACCTTACTGATTTTGGACAATCTTAGAAAGCTAACATTTTTTTCTGATTTTTAACCAGTACACTGCATTTTGGAACGGCTTTCTGAGAATTTCTTATGCATATTTAATCAAAGGCATCCTCAAGCATATCCAATCAAATTTACCTTGCAGACATCGTAGTTTGCAGTCGTCTTGTCAAAGAGTATGTACAAGTCGTTCAGGAGGTGAACATACTGCAATGGTGCGGATAATGCAGAGGTGGTCGCGAATCCAACAATATCTCTAATGTAGTTTGACATCTTATCCCAGGTTTCAGGTGCCACTGCAACACCTGCCTGTACCTCTTTCATAACAACTATGGAATTACAGATTAAGGTCAACTTCTCGCTAAGAAATATATCAAAGCTTAAAGTTGTCGGTCCATTTAAAAATGAAACAAATGAAACTATAGGATGCTAGATGTCACGAAAACCCTTAATTTGTATGCCGGAAAATCGAGCTGTCAGGAGACTCATAGAGGCAGCATACAACAGATAAAATTTCCCTTCTTCCTCTTCTCTCCTTTTGCAGTTCCTCCGTTCTAGCTCTTATCAGCTCTTCCGACCGAGTTGGGTCGTTCTCCATCATGTTGAACATGTGCTCTACGATGTTCGATCCTCCTGCTAAAACGGAGACAAAAGTGAAAAATCTCGCAAACCAGTTTTTCCTTAATTATTCGTTAGACCTCTTCATTCAGCTCCTTAAATGTTGACGTAAACCACGATTTTCCAACCAAGCACATCGATAAATGCCCCCATTAGCCAGTGCGATGCCTGCTTCAAGAAGCTAAATCTGGAAAACGAATGGAGGAAACTCGATACTTTGCCATAAACGGTGCCGTAAATCAAGGCTGGGTTATACGAGTCTGTTTAAGTTTTCGCAATTAGGCTTTTGCGTTTGGGTTGCAGAGCTCTAGTTACGTCACTAAGGTCGCTTGTTTCTCAGTTTCTTCGATTATTCTATGACATGTTGATGATTTGGGTGCTCGTTATAAATACTTTTTGAGTTTTCCCCTCATGTTCATCTCACTAGAGATTGCAAATAGAATTCACCAAGTGCAATCCTTGAACTTGACATAAACAATGCTGAATTACTAGGTATATCGCCATTTTTTCTACCTCCACAATGCTATCCACATGGGTTTGTCTGGTGGAAGACTTTGTGCATTGTTATGGCGAATGCATAGATATCTCCTAACTTGGTTCCAAAAAGGTGCTCTCTCATCTAGTAACGTTCCCAGAGAGGTCCATAATTTCGTTGGAGGTCAGAAGTAGTTGCAAAATGCGCTAAATATAGCTTACCTTTAGAGTCGATTAACGAACAACTGCCTGTTAATTTATAGATTTTAGTAAAGTTAAAATCGGTGAACGTAAAGACCCATCGGTAAGTGACGATGCAAATGGTCGATATAGGCCTTTCGTGATAGAACATGCAGTTTTTGACAAGTCTGTTGCAGTTAATTCAGAAAAGGTGTGCTCTTTGCCATCTTATCAGCAGACGTGAAAATTTATCGCGTTCGGTTATATTTTGCATTCTCGATGAAGAAGCAAATATTCCGTAATTGCCTATAACTATTAGAGAATATATTGGCAAGATCTACCCATTCGACGCATTATAAACCAAATTTCAACGTGTCAACTGACACAACTTTAACTTCTCTACCATAAAGATCAAGGAGGAAGACGCAGTTAAGTTGGGCTAGGCTGCGGCGTGTACTTCAAGCCCATGACGTACGAAAGACTGTTCTTCAAACAATTGAACCATGAAGGTCATTCTCACATACGACCTCTGATTGTCAAAATATAGCTGGTTAATCCACTAAGTAACATACCTTAGCAACACTAGACGAAAATAGATTCACCTATATTCACTAAGTTGTGACATTTGCGACAGAAAACCAAAGTCTTCATTTTTGTATTTTAAATACTTATAAGTTTTACAGACATTTGCGCAAATTTGGGTGTGTAGACTCGCTATTTCATTTTTCCCAAAGTGTCACTATTAATCCTAGCTGCAACTTCCAAAGCTAAACCGCTAACTTAAAGTTATTTTAAAATTTACCAGGGTCAGGTGATTTGGCACAGTTTATGGTGGCAGATTTTATTACTTTGATGCCAATTTGCTCCGTTTTCAGTCAGCATTGCTGGCCTCCTACATGACG